GCCTGTTGAGAAAAAGGGCCATGAGGATGGCCAGAGCCAGGATGCTCTAGTGAAGGACAACAGAAGATGCCACTGCTTTCCACGTGAGAAAGTGCCTGGGAAAGGGCAGGAAGGAGTTGGGGAGAGATGATGAACCAACCATCCTCTAAACATCTTCCCAGGCACTGGCAGCATAGTCCCCTGCTTGACCCAGTCAGCGCCACCACCTTTTTTATGTTAATAGGCTCCTGAAGAAAACACATACAAGTATAACACTCTCAGCTAGCACCAAGTTAAACATCATCTGGCAGAACATTGTAATAAAGGCAAGGATTATTTATAAGCTAAAGAGAACATCAAAAGGGTTCCATTCCCAGACATTGGCACTTTTCAGAGGGTGTGATTGACAGCTTGTTCTCCCTTTTCAACAAGATGGAAAGGAGAACTTGTTGCAGAACTAAGGAGGGTGATGCCAGAAAGTACTGGAAAGGCACAGGACTGGAGCAGGAAGGATCTAGAAGAAGTTTCACAACCTCGGCTACATTGACATCTGTTGCCCGGGGTGAGGGGGGTGGGGGGTGTCCCTCTACATTGTAGGATGTTTAGCAACATCCCTGGCCTCCACCCACTAGATACCAAGGGGACCCTCCCCAGAGTCTGAAAGCCAGAAATGTCCCCCAACCTTACCAGATGTCCACTCCTGGTGGAGAAGCAGCAGCTCTGTGACTTACTAGCAGTCTGACCTCAAGCTGACCCCTTCACCTTTCTGAGTCTGCCTTTCCTTATCGCTGCCCTGCTGGCTCTGAACTTTGGAGAAGCTCAAACAAGATTGAGCTTGTTTGACTCTAAATTACTTTTTTTTATGACTACTGTTTTTTAATATATTATTCTATTTTATTTATTTTTGGCTATGCTGGGTCTTCATTGCTGTGTGGGCTCTGTCTCTAGCTGCAGCAAGCTGGGGCTGCTCTCTAGTTACCGTGCACCGGCTTCTCATTGCAGTGGCTTCTCTTGTTGTAGAGCAGGGTTCTAGGGTGCATGGGCTTCAGTAGCTGCAGCTCGTGCACTCATTAGTTTTGGCTTCCAGGCTCTAGAGCACAGGCTCAATAGTTGTGGCCCAACGAGCTAAGTTGCTCCGCAGCACGTGGGATCCTCCCGGACCAGAGATCGAAGCCATGTCTTCTGCATTGGCGGATGGATTGTTTACCACTGAGCCACCAGGGAAGCCCTCTAAGTTACTTTTTAAAACTCTGAAGTTCTAGAGACATAGAAATTATGGGAATTCAATCACCTGCTACTCAAAAAGTGTCTAACATCTAGAGTTTTTCATTTTCATCCTAAAAGCAAACATGAACTCTCCTGGAAGCATTTCCCTGGAGAGAGTTTTCCAGCTTTTTTGAGATGTAATTGATATATAAAATGTGTGCCTTTCCAAAGTGGGTAGGGGAGGGAAGCATTGGAAGTTTGGGACTAGCAGAGGCAAACTATTATATATAGGATGGATAAACAAGATCCTACTGTATAGCACAGGGAACTATATTCAATACCCTGTAATAAACCATAATGGAAAATAATATGAAAAAGAATGTATATGTGTGTATACATATGCATATCTGCATAACTGAGTCACTCTGCTTTACAGCAGAAATTAACATGATGTTGTAAATCAACTATACTTTAATAAATTTTTTTTAAAAATTTTGTGTAAGTTTAAGTTGTATAATATGATAATCTGATATTATAAAATAATTGCCACAATAAGATGAGTTAACAGACCTATCACTGAACATAGTTACCTTTTTTTTAATGTGTGTGGTGAGAACATTTAAGGTCTCCTCTCTTAGTAACTTTCAAGCATACAATACAATCTTGTCAACTGTAGCCACCCTGCTCTACATCAGAGACCCAGAATTCATTCATCTTCTAATTAGACACTTATACCCCTTGACCAGCATCTCTCCACTTCTCCCACCCTAAGCCCCCAGCAACCACCAATGTACTCTTTGTTTCTGAAGTTTGACTTTTTTTATATTTTATATATAAGTGAAATCATACAGTATTTGTCTTTGTCTGATTTATCTAATTTAGCATCATGCCCTAAGGTTACATTCATGTTGTAACAAACAATAGATTTTACTTTTTTATGACTGAATAATATTACATAATGTGTGACTAGACAGATAGATAGATAGACAGACAGACAGACAGACAAATAATGCCCTAAAGTTAGTTTCATGTTGTAAAAAATGATGGGATTCCTTCCTATTATGGTTGAGTAATATTCCACTGTGTGTGTCTCTGTGTATGGATAAATGATAGATAGATAGACAGATGAACACCCCTCCCTTGCAGGCAGAGGTCTTGTGTGACTCCTCTGTAAAGTTATTGCCAGGATAAGAGCCTGGTACACATGAGGCTCTCAATTAATGCTCATGGAATAATTGGTTTTTATGTTGTTGACTTTTCCCTGGGATTTCTTTTTTCATTTCCAAAACCAATATCAGCTTTCAACTGAACCAAAGCCAACAACGTCCAACAGGCAAACATTTAAAACCATATGAACACAAAGTTCTAAAAACTGTTTTCCATTTCTGATCTCATCCAAGGACGTCCAACACTGGGAATGTAAATCAACCCTAGATGGAAGTTAGAGGAGAATTCACTGGACTGAGAATAACAAACAAGTGAAAACAACAACAAGAATATAATCTGTCCCCAAGCATAGCATCCAAAATCAGACAGGAAAAGGATTAAGCGTTACAGTTGACTTACCTGCCCAGAAATTCAGCCTCTAGCTGAACAGAAAGAAGAAACCAGTCTATTTACTCCTAAATATTTTTTAAAGACTAGAATTTCACCCTATAAAGTATGGCAAGAAAAGATAACAAGTTGATTTTCCACTCTGGTAACTGAATTTGGAAGGAGAGAACCATTTATTTTTATCGGTTTCTCATTTGCCCAGGATGGCCCTTTTGAAGTTGACGGAAGGCGCTTACAGATACCCAGTCATGAGGTAGCCTGCATCCTTAGTCGCCATCCAACACGATATGAAAAGTACAATTATCCCGTTGCATAGAATTGATATCACCTTGCCTCTGGAGAGCTCTAGGCAGTCCTCAAATTACATTTAAACACCAAATTAAAATTTTAACTATAAAAAATAACGGGATAAACAAGAGAAATCATATTATAATATTATATTAGTAAAAATATGGCTGGGAGAAGGAAGTGGATTTTCCATATTAACATTATGCTAAATGCAACGTTATTTCCATTAGAGCCACAGGAAGCATATGGCCCATTTAGCATCAATCTTCATCAAGGCCCTGATCTCTCACTAACGTTTATTAACGACCCATGGATACCGGCCACTCTCCAAGTCAAATCACTAGAGAGCGAATTCCTGTACAAGCTTTCCTAATGGTGACTAATGCGGACCTACAATTTCCTATTTTCCAAAAGGTATTTTCAAAGAGACTAGAAAAAGGCATCTGGTCAAGTTGAGAATAGTCTGGCCAGTGACTTGATGCTTTGCTTTACGTCCAGGTGTCTTGGCTCATGGGGCCAAAGTCTTGTCTGACAGTTTTGCTGATGAGGGGTCATTGCTTGCCCCCTCAAGACCCTCCTCTTCTGTCCTTCCTCCTGCCCCTTCTCCTTCCCTGAATGCAGAAGCCACAGAACTATTTCAAGCAATGGAGACTTTTTAAGCAGAATTGGAAAAGATGGAAGGACACATTTTAAAGGAGAATTTGGTCTCAGGATTGATTTATGTAAAATAATAAATGGTGCCACTTGGCTGTTTATAGAGTTAGAGATAAAATTAGATTCTAGACAGACCTTCTTCATGCACATGGGGTAACTCTGATGGATTACTGCTTTCATGTGACTTAGGAATAACAGAGCTCATGGAAATTTACAAGGGGCTCCTTGAGAACACAATTCCCAGCCATATCCAATAATTCAGAAGGATATTTCGGGTTCTGAAAATGACTCAAATTTAATTTGGGAACAATACTTGAAAAGCATAAGCTGATAAAAGTATTAAGTAGTTAACAATTTTGAAGTTAGTTCATGCTCCATAGCTAAGCAGAAACCATTTCTACCCAATTTCTCCCCAGCATCACCTCTATTAACACATTCTTAGCCTGGACACCCTCAAAAACATAAGCAAAAGGGAGCAAGTAAGGACCCTGGGGGTTGAAGAGATGAACATTTCATCAGCTACCCAAGAAAGGAGTCTGGATTTTAGCAGGCTAATGCCTTTGACCTTGACAGTTCTATCTTTTTATGAAGTTAAAAATCAGGCCAACATGAGCAGCCATATGTTGTTGTTCAGCCGCTAAGCTGTGTCAGACTCTTTTTGACCCCACAGACTGCAGCACGCCAGGCTTTCTTGTCCTTCATTATCTCCCAGTGTTTGCTCAAACTCATCTCCATTGAGTTGGTGATGCCCTCCAACCATCTCACCCTCTGTCGCCCCTAGCTTTCAAGACTTCTGGACCTGAGTATTCGCTGCCTTTTGGCAGTAGTCAGCTATGTTGAACCCACTCACTTATGTAACAGATACTTAAGGGCAATTGCTCTCTCCTTGAGACTTTACCAGTTCTGCAGTCACACACAGTGGTCAGGAGCAGGCCATGCTCAACATCAGCCTATGAAGCAGGGTGCAAAGTTGATGGAATGAGTAAAAGATAGTTAAACTGAGACCTGAACAGACAGCAAGCTTGTTTGAAGTGGAGGTGTGGGGTGGGGTACAGAATTAGTACTGATAGAAGTTGAACTTGGGACAGAAAAGCAAGAAGTCTTAGAGGGATGAATTGTAAAGAGGGAAAAGAAGACGCATGAGCAAGGAGACTGATGAATCAATGAGAAGCCTGTTGCTCCAAGTCCTGCCAGCCAGCCGCCTGAAGGGCAAGTACCTTAGGGAAATAATGTAATGTGACATCATCAAATGCTTTAGAATGCTTCAAAATGAGTCTACTGCAAGTGATGGGAGTGCACCACCCTCCCTTCATCTCTAGCCTGGAAGAGGAGGAGAAACTATTAGACGAGCAGGTAAGTTCTGAGGCAACCCTTTTGCCGAAAACTACAAGTGCCCTAGAAAAATCAGGGTTCCCAGAACAATCCACAAGAGGATACAGCTGCTGCCATCAGCTGGAGTGCAAGAATGGATGGAGGTGCGCAAGGCAAATTTGAATGGGAAAACCCCTGAAGACGCTTCCATGTCCTTCCAGTCATCCACGTGACTCCCACCAGGATGGGACGCCATTTTTGAGAGGTTCCACATATATCTGAAAGGTAGAGTGCTCAGAGCTTGCTGATTGGTTGGACGAGCAGCTCGAAGGAGATAGAGACTCCAAGATCATGCCTAGGCTTTGGCGAGAGGGAGCAGTGGGGGAATTTACTTGCCAGCACAGCAAAGAGGCAGCTTACAGGGAACAGCTTCTGCAATCAGGTTTGGAGAGATGGACGTGGAAGGCACTCCTGGGGCAAAGCCAGGTGGAGATGCTTCAAAATAAGTCTACTGCAAGTGATGGGAGTGCACCACCCTCCCTTCATCTCTAGCCTGGAAGAGGAGGAGAAACTATTAGACCATCAAGTAAGTTCTGAGGCAACCCTTTCACTGAAAACTACAAGTGCCCTAGAAAAATCAGGGTTTCCAGAACAATCCACAAGAGGATACAGCGGCTGCCATGTGCGATGAGAATACCTCCCGATGCCTCACTCCACGGGGAAGGGCGGGACTTCCGCTGAGGCCGGAAGGCATCTCTTCTACTTGAAGAAGGCCAGCAACATGGCGGCCTTCTTGGTCCCCTCAGTCTCTGATGGTGGCAGTACATGGCCAAATTCTAATGGAAACAGAAAGGGCTTGTGCAGCCTCCTTCCTCTGCAGCCCTTACTGTCTGGTTGGAGGAGGCCATGTGTGCTTGCACTGGCGACTGTGAGGATTCCTGAGGTCTCTTGCACCAAAGCTGGCTCCAACTTTTCTGCTCAGCACCCAGATTCATAATCTCAGAGGGCATCGTGCTTCTTCCCATGGAAGCTCTGGGCTTCGTGCTTACCTTTCAGGCCCCAGGCAGACAATGAGCAATAGAAACTCCACACAAACCTCGAATATAATTTTAGATTTTCTAGTAAATACATTTTTCAAGTGAAAATTTAAATGTGAATTAATTTTAATAATATACTTAAGCCACTATATCTGAACTGTTTTTTAATTATCAAGATTGTGTGTGTGTGTGTGTGTGTGTGTGTGTGTAAAATCTTTGATCTGATGTATATTTTTATGCTTAAACCACATTTCAGTTTGTATCGACTGCATTTCAATGGCTCATTAGCCACATAGGGCTCAGAGATGGTGTTGGAAAGCACAGCGCGAGATCATCAGCCACAGACCTTCCAGTCCTGAGAGCTATTAATGATAATAGCTATGAGAGCTAACCTGTATTAGGCGCTGGCTGAATACCAGAGACCTTGGTAAGCACTTTACATGGGTTATAATGTGGGTACGTGCACAGATTGAACCTTCGGTCCTGGCACCAGGGCTTACTAAATGAGGCCAGTTCCTTTATGTCTCTGTGCCTGTTTCTTGCAGTACAATGTTAAATTAAAATGTTAGGGTCTGAATGTGTCCCCCCCACCCAAAAAATTTCTTATGTTGAAACCTAAACCCTAAGGTGATGGGATTAGACAGTGGGGCCTTTGAGAGTGATTAGGTCATTAAGGTAGAGTCTCAGAAATAGGTTTAGGAACTTCCCTGGTGGTTCAGTGGTTAAGACTTTGCCTCCCAATGAAGGGGGTGTGGGTTCCGTCCCTGGATGGGGGACTAAGGTCTCACATGCCTCCGGGCCAAAAGAGCAAAACATAGAACAGAAATGATATTGTAGCAAATTCAATAAAGACTTTAAAAATGAGCCACATTTTAAAAAATCATAAAAAAAGAAGACAAAGAAAAAAAAATAGGTTACATGCCCTTATTTTTATAAGGTCCAGAGAAGCTCCCTTGTCCCTTCCACCATGTGGGACACAAAAGGTGGCAGTCTGAGACCAAGGAGAGGGCCTTCAGCAGACCCTAAGCATGCTGGTACCTTGATCTGGAACTTCACAGTCTCTAGAACTGTGAGAAGTAAATTTCTGTTGTTTATGAACCACTGTGTTCACGGTACTTTGTTATAGCAGCCCAAATGGACTGAGATAGTAACATCCAGTTAGGACAGATGAGAGAATTAAATCAGCAAATAATGAAAAAGTGCCTAGAACAGAGCCTGTTATATTCCACTCTCTATTTTGCTATTACTGTTATCCTAGGCCACATACCTTCCGAAGAGGTCAATGTGACAAAGTTTGAAAACTGCCCATTGGATTTGCAATTAGTTCTTGGTGATCCTACAAATGGCAATTGATTTGAGTGGCAATAAAAACCAAAACCGGACTTCTCTGGTGGCTCTGTGGTAAAGAATCCACTTGCCAATGCATGAGACACAGGTTCGATCCCTGGGTTGGGAAGATCCCTTGGAGAAGAAAATGGTAACCCACTCCACTATTCTTATCTGGGAAATCCCATGGACAGAGGAGCCTGGTGAGCTCCAGTCTATGGGGGTCACAAAAGAGTTGGCCATGACTGAGCAACTAAACGGCAAAACAACAAAAACCAAAACCAGCCTAGCTGTGTGCAATGAGTAGGCAGTGAGGTGAAGGTCTCCATCTTCATTTAATAGCCATAGTTCTTTTAAAACCCAGATCAGAAGTACCCTATGGGCACCTGCCTTATCTACACTACCATAAATTGAACGTCTGCAAGTCTCTTTAACACCCTTCACAATACCATTCAACAACATCAGGCAAATGCCAGCAGAGAAGCCAGGAGCACAGTTAAGAGCACCCAGACAGTGTAGACAGTGTAATGTTTCTTATTTAAAGGGAAAGCAAAAAGGGAGCCTCAAGGCTTGTCCACATTTAGGCAACAGTTAGGAAGGGCAGAGGGGAGAGCAGATGAAGCAGAAGGAAGATGAGAAGTGGATGGATAAGGAGGTATTGCTGCAGCTGCTGAGGCTGGATATCTGTGGCCTGTGCCCTTTGCTCACAGTGCATCGAACAGAAGGTTTAATGATCTTAGAAGTGATAACTTTTTACTTAGAAATAATTTTGCTACATAAGAGTTATAAGAATAGTACAAAGAGTTCCCAATATCTTTTACCCAAATTCACCAGTTGCTAGTATTTTGCAGTGTATTCTTTATCATTCTCTCTCTGTCTGAACCATTTGAGATTAAACTGCATACATGTTGTCCCTTTATCCCTAAATACCCCAGTGTGCATTTGAGGCATTCTCTAGTGTAATGACAGTACAGTTATCACAATCAAGAAATTGTTCATTGACATAATACTCTTACCTAGTCTACAGCTGTGAGGTGGGGGAGTGGTAGTTGGGATGAAAGAAAAGATAGACTCAGAGGGCAGATGAATAATGAGTGCTGCTCCAAGTTCCACCTCCACCCACCATCTCAGCAATGTCCTTCAGAGCAACTTTTTCTGGGCCAGTGTCCAATCCACTATGATGCCTTGCATCTAGAAATAACTGACTTTTGACTTCTTCTTTATTAAGTTGGACTTCTTGGACATCAGCACTAAACATCCACTGGCCTAGCTGAAAGATTCTTGGAATGTAATTTAAGTAAAGGTATCTTGAAAATTGGCAGGGAAGTTAAGGAAGGGTGGAAAAGATAGAAAGAACACTGAAAAGGTACAAGTGAACATCTCATGTTTGCAAACCATTGTAAGTAGCAAAAATGGTATAGCTGAGTCCTTGGTTACATGTTTTAAGAGACCCCTGTGCTCAGGTGCATGGTGTCATCTGAGTGATCCCTGTTAAGTTACAGAGACACTGGGGTACAAATACAACTGACCCTTGCTCTGGAAGAGATGACAGGTCTTTTCAATAGGTACACAGACCACTTCAATACAAAGTGGTCAGTGACATAAATGCCGAGACCCATTGCTCACCTGCGGAATCCTAGTGCACTGCTCGTTCATCTTATTCTCAGAGACTTAAAAGTCCTGGACTTGAGTCTCTAGCATCAGTTCAGTCAAGTTTTTCACTACCACAGAGCACTAGCATCTCATAGGATTTGGAGGGCATTCTCCCTTTTGCGTGGCCAACTACATCCTGATAATCTTACAGGCATCCCAGATTTCTTCTTTCTTCTTCAGGCCTGCTCTCTGAAATTTCTCTCTTTGTATCAGTTCGGTTTGGATCAGGCTCTTTGAACTTCAAAAAAATCTATATTTCTCAACCCAACTCAAATAAAAGATAATAACTGAAGACCCTCTGCAGTGTAGGAATGGCACAAGACATCTCTAGGACGGTTTCAGCATGGAATTAGAAAACTCCAGGGAAGAATAGGAACTTCAGGGTTGCAGGTAGGTGTCCAAAAGCATTGACAAGTGTCAACACAGGTTCATACTAGTGTGAAAACTTCAGTTTTTTTTTTTTTAAATAAGTTTCCTATATCTTTTGAGAAACCAGAAAATCATGAGTCCTGTTTGGCTCTTAGAAAAGAACATTGCTAAAGAAATATTTCAGCCTTCATTATCTTTTTAGATTGCATGTGAAGTCATTTGGATGGCATGCATTTGGTGGTGAAATTTACCTCTATGTTCCTACGACAGCGAGTCTTTTTAGTGAATCACAAGGAGAGAAGCTGAGTTCCGATGCTTCCTGCTGGCACTCCAAGTCTACACAGCTGAAACAAGTGTTACCCTGGCAGCAGGGTGCCAGGGAAGAGAAAATTAAAAATATGGAATGTCAATACTCCACAAGTTAAATGGTGTTGGTACAAATAATACAGTCATGCATCATTTATCTACCGTTGTTTTGTTCAATGTTCCCTAGTAATTTCTCAGGAAGCTAAAGTTTGTGGTATAATGACAAAAGTTCGCAAGTAATTAGCATCAGGAAGGAATGAACTCTGAAAGGGCACAAGAGAAACTTGCTATGGGGATAAAAATGCTCCAGCTTGATTGCAGTGCTGGCTGTAAACAAAGTCATGACTACCCAATGCTGCTAAAGGGTAAATTTTATTTTATGTAAATTCTACCAGATAAATCTGACTTTTAAAAAGGGGGGAAGTAATTAGGATGCTATCAAGGAAGTGAAAAGACAGCCTACAGAATGGAGA